TGGTCATGCAAAAGACATGCCAGTCTAGTTGCTCTACTTATACTACTGTCGACATGTCCAACAATAATGATTATCGAACATTACTTCGACATTGCCACGTGTCACAAACGACAGTGGACTTTACCTGCCACATGTCACCACGTGACTGCGGACTTAATCTCGTGCGTTAGAGCGGTTAGACTTAACCATAGCCCAAACGTCACATAGGTACCGGATCGAAGAATTGTACCGGCCGGCCGGCAACTTGAAATTACCTGATCTCGAGCGGTCGCGCGCAATATTGCTAAGGGTTTAGGACACTTTAGCCGCCCGGAGCTAGCTGAGTTTGTGTGCCGCGGCGTCGAGAAATCAACTGAATGATAACGTCAAAAAAAGATTTATTGAAGGAAGGGGGGGGGGGGGGGGGGATGCCAAACCGCGATGCGGTGTGAATGCTCGGGTTTGCCTTCCGATGAGCCTTCTTTTAGGGGAGGCTCCCGAGAGGCTCCCTTCTGAAGTGCTTATTAACCCATTAGATAAATAGTGGTTTATCGCAGCGTAAATACACACAATCGGAGCATCTCAAACGCGTGCTCAAAGATCATCGGACGGCTGTTGCATGTGTAGAGCCGGTCAGCCAGCGTATAAATAACTACCGGGCACTCTCCAAGCTATGTTCAGTCGAGAAACTGAGACCGGTGCTAAAGCGGTGAAATGTCGGGCAGCGGGCTGGTCAGACTTAGATATAGCTTATGGATAATCAGTGGTTGTAGGGCTCTAGGGCCTATGAATCCTGCTACCGGTTGAAAGTTGTGGGATGCTCAGTCGACACAATCCTGCCCGGTACTGATATAAGCAGGCTGCCACTGCCTGATTCCAGCGTGCAAAATCGTAATCGTACTGGTAGACAACATGTCATCAGACGGTTGCGCTTTCCAGTCAAGATGCAAGATACGCGCGGCCGGGCGACGGGTCCCCGCAAGCGCTACGACGCGGGCATGATCGCAGGGGTTTGCCGCACGTATAAGAGGTCACGTGCGGAGATTTGGACGTACAAAAAAAATTCGCGTCATCGAACTCCAAAACCCGTCGAAAACTGGAGTACTCCGAGTAATTTCATACCTGAACTCACTCAAAATGCACGTTCGATGCATAAAATCTGCTTAACTGAGTGATCCAGTCTGGAGCGCCACTTTACCCCAAAACCAAACGCCAGTTCTAATAACGAGAGCTCGTTTTTTAATAATTAAAAAAACCGAGCTTACAAAATAAAATAAAAGACTTCGTCCGAAGCATCGAACCGGGATCGAACCTCAAAACCTCGTCGAAGGATCGAAGATGACCAGTCGAGCATTTCAGACCTGGATTCGCGCAAAATGTCGGTTCGACGGATAAAATCTGAATGATCCAGTCTGCGGCGCTAGCTTCTCTACTTCCCAATCTCTGGAGCCGATTGCTATAGCTGGTTTTTTTGATAAATCTCATGCGATATAGGCTCGGCATCTGATTAGGCTCGGTACTTTGGAGCGAACGTGTTTATTGACAAACGGTGAAACTACATGAGGCGTTGTATGTTTTGATGTTTATGTATGGAATTCATAGTTCCCAGCTTTGTGAAATTGGCAATGATGAGTTATGAAACAATGAATAAATTGAGATTGAAGGTGATGTAGATGATGTGCTAACATTCAAGGCAATCCACGCAACACCCGCATTGACCAACCTTGAGGCTCCGCCCAGTGGCCGTCACTCGCAAGAAGCCTGAGTCCAATTTGGATGTCCAAATGGATAACTCAAACATTGGCAAGCGACAGAAATGAGTACATGTCACTTACTGCTTGGATGAGGGCGTCTCCGAAAGCATGGGACATGATGATGTGAAACAAGCAAGTAACGCTAATGGCTATAAGGCCTACTGAATTACTTTCGTGTTAGTATATTACGGTTGTTAATGGTCTCCGTATGGCTCGTCTCCTTTGGTGTTGTTGTCTCTGTTTCGCTGGTACTGCTAATAACGGATGAGTGTACGCGAGTACGCTCGTAAGATGGGGTTGAACGCTCGGGGCGCTCGGATGCTGGGTTGAACGCTCAAGGCGCTCGGATGCTGGCTGGACACGGAGTCCGGTTGCGATGGATGTTGATAACTTGAATGAAAGTCGAATTGGAATGGCGATGCCAATTGACTTAAGTACCCGAAGGGGATCTGAGTGAGTTTGGATCTCCAAAAGCATTGCGGCGTTTGGATTGTCCAGAAATTGATGGGCACGCGACGGTTGGGTTCGTACCCGCCCGTGCGTTACGGTTGCATAACCGGTAACATGCCGGTTAGGTACCCTTTGGAAGGTCGTAGAACATGCTTGGATTGAATCCGCCAATAATGGGATTCTAGTGGCCATGGTTGGTCGTTGGACATCCAGTGCGGTCTGTTTAATTGTTTATGATCCTAGCCAATGCGTTTTAGGGTTCTTCTTAGGTGCGCTAACTTGTATCGTTATCGAAGTCACCTAATACTACACGATTGTGCCACGCGTCGCTTGCGTAGCGATTACCCGAGCCGATATGGCATTGATGGATTATGGCATGACAGGGGGGATTGGTTGTCTCCACCGGGGGGGGCGAAGAGGGGGAGAACCGGGGGAGACATGTCTCCCCACCTGTCTCCCCCACTTCTCCCCAGGGGGAGGAGAACCGTCAGTCTCCACCCCCTCTTCCCCGGTGGAGGAGAATTCTCCCCACCCGGGGGGGGAGAAAATCTCCTCCGCGGGTGGAGAATTCTCCCCCCATGGAGGAGAAAGTCTCCTCCGCGGGTGGAGAATTCTCCCCCCGTGGAGGAGAAAGTCTCCTCTGCAAGTGGAGAGTCTCTACTCCAACGGGGGAGAACGTTAACTCCTCAGGGGGAGAAATCTCCCCTTGAGCGGGGAGAAGTTCTCCCCACCCCTCTCCTCACACGGACCAGGATTGCAGGGTTTCAAGCGCCAGCAGAATCCTAAGCGTTAATTTGAGACCCGCACTCGATAGCTTAAAACAGCAGCCAGCAACAAGGAAAGTTGACCAGTCCTGAATAGTCGATCGATAAGCTGAGAAGGGCAGATCTAAACTGACTATCAGTGGCAATGTAAAAGTGATGGCCTCTAGGCCGTTCCACGGCTTGTGAAATAATCTGTCCCGTCGATCGAGCTGTAAATCTCAAGAAGAGCCATAATGTCTCCTGGAAAATACCTCGTTTAAAG